GCTGTTGCTTCTGGAGCAACTATTCTTCCTCTTGCGACCAGCTTTTGGACTGAAGTGCTGCATGGCAATGGTGACAAGGGATCCAAGAGCGCTTCCAATTGCCTGATAGGCCTCCTTCCTTTCTTCCCTGGCTCTCTCAGAAGCTCTCTCGCGCTGTTCAACACAGGCCTCCAACGCCCTTACAATGCCCTGCTTTGCATTGGCAGAGTTGTAAGAACGGACACAAGGGGCTCTTCTTCCGGGTGTAACAGCTCTTGCGGTTGCAGTTGCAGTTGCGTCGGCAACTGCAACTGCAACAACTGTGCCATTGGAAGTCTGGTGAGGAGTCTCGTCTTCCTGTTGAGTAAGTTCTCCTTGTTGTTCTTCCGAAACTTCTGTTTCTTGCGAGGAAGGTTGTTCTTGTTGGCTTGGTGGAGAGGGGGGACCAGGCGCGTTGTTCTCATTGCCATCAGGATCACCATTGCGACCCTGAGGATGTACGTATCCTTCCTCAATATCAAAGTGCTCTTCTCCATCTCCAATATCTGCCTTCACGCCAATCAAGTACTTGGCCTTCTTGGCAAGTCTCACTGCCAAAGGACAGTTTGGATCTCCAGTAGGGATGTTCTTCCTATGAAGCGTTGCATACTTCCTACGGATGGAGGACACATCCCTATTGGTATCAGGATAGTTATCATTGTGAGTTGCTTTTACTTCATTCCACTGATCACTCCCAATAGGAAGCCTTGCCAAGATGGCGTACATCAAGTCAATGGTTTCCTGAGTACCATAGTTGCTTGTTCCAGATCTTCAGCCACCTGCTACTGCAACAATTGGTGGTTCTGGCGGTTGCTGCTGGTGTTGGTTGGCGTTTCTTGTTAGAACCATCTTGGATCTTGCTTCTTGTTGCTTGTCGTGAATCGACGTTGTTCTTGTTGCTTGTCGTGAATCGACGTTGTTTTTTTTTTGTGTCGGAACCGATGCTGGAATCAACACGTGAACTACACGCGTTTTGCTGCATTCCAACCAGTTCCTCCCCCGGGGAAGGGGGGGGGCTTCTCAGGGTTCTCAACTTTTGATTCCTGTTGACATGATTCCAGAAAGGGGTTCTTCCATGGTATCGATGCCCTTTTAGTGAGGATACTGCTAATATACTTCAGATTTTGTATAGTGAACTGGTCGTGGTGTCTGGATTTGTTTTGGCGCACTTTGTGACACTTTAGATTTGTTTTGGCGGGCTCCCCCGGCTTGCTGGCACCATGTGTTCTCAATACTTTGTGTTTCAGAGTTCTCAATATTTGGCGAGAATGCAGTTATTTTCTGTTAATTTCAAGCAAAATTCCATATTCCAAAATCAAGCACATGTAGCGCGCCATAATCTAAGATTTTAGATTATATGTCCATACATACTTATTCCCGTATACATGAGTTCGTAAAGTAAGACGGCATAGATTCTATGTTTACGGGAATCACCCATTTTCCCATACGTACCAATTTTACGGCGAGACTAGTTATTTTCTTGGGTCTCGCACTATGCAACAATCTGTCGCTACAGTTAAGATCCATAAGATCCAAAGATCTACACGGTTCTCTGTCTGGCACGGCAGTATTGTTCAGGAACGGAGCGCGCACGCAACAGGTTTTTTCGTCCAACCAATCAAATTAAAGTATTTGAATGCTTGGTTCTGTCCTCCTACCGGCTGCCCCACTAGTGTACGTATGTATTCCCATTATCATTTCACAGCCAGGCATCTGGTCGTTCACGTATGCTCTTGTGAAGTTTTCTTTGGCCGTAATCCAATGAATGAATCTGCGCAGGCGAACAAGAACCATTAGTGTGACGTCGTACACGTCGTACGTCTTGTACGGCACCGCAATCTAGGGTATTTTRCAATATCCGTTGTGTAGGGTACGTACGGTATTGTACGTACCCGTACTCGTWTTGGTTGGTGTACCGCCGAGTCTCAGTTCTCAATCCGTAGTCCGTACTGTACGTACTTGTACCGTACGATACTCGTACTTTGTTTGTACCTGTCACCTCCACTAATAAAATAATCTCACCGATTGATTCCTTCTGWAGTGTCAACCATCAGGAACAACCCGCTTTCTGCTTTCTTGGTCTGCTTTCCGTTTCATAAAATTCTAACCATCGCTTACATAAACTTGAATCAACGAAGGCGAGCAGAAACTGTCTCATTCACTCACAAACCACTACGTTTGACAACCCCAACCACAAGCACAACAAGACACAAAACCATTGGAGCTATCATGGAACTCGAAAAAGAATGCATCAACACCATCCGTGCCCTCAGTATCGACCAGGTACAAGCAGCAAACTCGGGGCATCCCGGAGCTCCCATGGGAATGGCCCCCATAGCTTACGTCTTGTGGAAAGAGATCATGAAGTATTCTTCAAGCAGTCCCGAATGGATCAATCGCGATCGATTTGTTCTTAGTAACGGGCATGCTTCTGCCCTCCAATACGCCATGCTGCACCTGACGGGATACGAAGACTCCAAGATGGAAGACCTCAAGGGATTTCGTGTGCTGGGATCGAAAACACCGGGGCACCCAGAAAATTTCATGACGGCAGGTTAGTTCTGGAAAATCTGAGTGTTGATYATTGGCGTAAACATGTTTATGATCGTTTCGGCCTCCACTTGTATGAGAATTTTCGTCTAATACGATTTCATCGTCCTTGGCATGGCATATATTGYCACTTCCACAATTATTTCTGTATTTATCAGGCGTGGAGGTTTCTACGGGTCCGCTTGGACAGGGTATATCGAATGCCGTCGGMTTGGCCATGGCCGAGACGCATTTGGCCGCGACGTACAACACGGACGATCACAAAATTTTCGACAACTATACCTACGTTCTGTGCGGAGATGGYTGTATGCAAGAGGGAATTTCAGGTGAGGCCTGCAGTTTGGCCGGGCACCTGGGACTTGGRAAATTGATTGTTATGTACGATGACAACAACATCACTATTGACGGCGACACAACTCTATCTTTCAGCGAAGACGTGGCAAAGCGATACGAGTCATACAACTGGCACGTCCAAAAGGTCGGTGATGTCAACAAYGGGGTGGACGATCTGCGCAAGGCCATTGCCGAAGCCCAGAAAGTTACCGACAAACCTTCAATTATTTGCGTAAAAACTGTTATTGGAGAGGGAAGCCCCAAGAAGGCCGGAACTGCGGGTGCTCACGGAGCCCCTCTCGGRGTTGAGGAAGCAGCAGCCACCAAAAAGGTATACGGATTGCCTAACCCAGAGGAGACGTTCCAGGTTTCCGACGCTGTCAAGGCCGTATTTGCCGATGCAGCCAAGAAAGGTGAGGAAGCACTGACCGCATGGCAAGCTGTCATGGACGCATATCAAGCTGCGCATCCCGAAAAGGCTCAAGAAATCCAACGACGATTCGCCGGAGAGTTRCCAGAGGGTGTCTTCGATTCTCTTCCAAAGTTCGTGGTAGGAGAAGACAAGGAACTTGCCACGCGCAAATACAGTCAGGAATGCATCAACGCGATTTATCCCAACCTTCCAGAATTCGTCGGCGGATCGGCCGACCTGACACCCTCCAACTGCACTTTCCCCAAGGGTGCCTCGGACTACCAAATGGCGTCTCCYGAAGGAAGATACATTCGTTTCGGTGTTCGTGAACACGGCATGGCTGCTCTGTGCAATGGCCTCTTCGCCTACGGTGGATTGCGTCCATACTGTGCTACCTTCATGGTTTTTGTTGGATACTGCATGGGCAGTGTACGTCTTTCGGCTCTTTCGAAATTTGGTGTCATCTATATCTTTACGCACGATTCGATCAACGTGGGACAGGATGGGCCAACCCACCAACCGATCGAACAATTCGAACAAATCCGTTCGATGCCCAACATTCACCTCTGGCGTCCTGCCGATTCCGATGAAATGGCTGCTGCCTACAAGTCTGGTATTCAGCGAAAATCGACACCGACTGTCATTGGCTGCTCCAGATCCCCCACTACCGCKTTGTTTGGATCCTCCATCGACAACGCAATGAAGGGGGCATAYGTCGCGATTGAGGCGGATGGAACTCCCGATCTCATCATTGTGTCGACCGGAGGAGAAGTTCAATTCTGCGTGAAGGCCGTCGCTGACTTGGTAGCTCAAGGAATCTCCACTTCCCTAGTCAGCATGCCGTGTCAGGATGTCTTCTTGGAACAATCGGAAGAMTATCAGAAAAGTGTCTTGCCCGGAAAYATTCCCACGCTTTCGGTCGAAGCTGGCGCTACCCATGGATGGCACCGTTTCTCTCACGGGCAGATCGGCATGGACAACATCTTTGGTGCTTCGGGCGACGGCAATGCTGTGTACGCGCACTTTGGATTCACACCCGAAAACGTTGCCGCCAAAGGAAAAGCACTCGTCGACTACTACAAGGCGGACGGAAAGACGGTTCCRAATCTTCGGGATGTACCCCACTTTGAACCATTTGCGAAGCCGCATTGAATGAGTAGATGAAAGACCGATGGAGGAACGGGGACCTTGTCTCGTTTTGAGTATTGAACGACTGTGAATAATAATATYAATAAAATACTTTCTTAAACTGCTATTGTAGTGTGTTTYATTTCATTRGGTGGGTATCKYGTGATTACTAGTACTAGCTACTGTGCKTACTAATTTGTCCAATATTAGCTGTTCATCACCAATCGACTTTCAATGTTCTGAAACAGGAAGAGAACATTAAGAACTACCAGGAATACTAGTATTTGTAAGATTACGACGCATTCTGCTTCTGGAAGTGCATCTTTTTCTTRTTCTTGTTCTTCTTACTAGTACTATTATTTGGTACTTCGTACTACCTGTCTAATAGCAACCTCCAACGTAATGCTGATAGTAATATATACTGGTACTGCTAGTTTTCGTGATAATATTTTTAACACGATACGAAAGTAGCTTATATTTTTGTACAGAATCGTGAAGTACGTACGATACCGTAGACAGGGGTCTAAATTATGACCCCTGACCGTAGAGACGTACCGTATCGGCCGGTATGTATCTTTAAAAATAGGAAGGCAACAACAGAAAAGTTTTAAATTAATGTACGAAGTACTTCGTTAGTACACTTAGAACCCCTACGTACTTTACACTGCAGTCAGCGTAGGTAGGCAACAGTAGCACAAGGTACGAGTACTACCGTATCATCTTATCATACTCGTGCTAAGGTACGATACCATAACGTACTTGCTACGGTATGAAAACATCCTCATGACGTAAGTTAGAGAGATTGCCACGTACGTTAGCATGTAAAAGTAGTACTAGAGCTCTTTCATGCCTTTCGCGTAACCTTATTATTTCAAATTACATGCAGTGCACCTTTTTTCTGCACTGCATTCTTTCSAAGCACTTCCTTCGGTGTCTATCCATCATCCGTTTCTAGTTTGTCGTTACAAAATCGAACAGTAATYCCAGTCGTGCATACAGTAAAGTAACATGAAGGGGGAAAATGAAAAATGGACAAAGGAGAGTGGACGATGGACGAAGGACGAAGGACGATGGACAGAATTCTACAGTAAGAATCACTACGAGTTCGAGTAGGGTACTTGTACGAATACAGTCCACCGTTTCGTACGTACTCGTACTCGTGGTACCACGGGCTATAATTCGTCCTACGGTAGGAACTGGCACCTCTTTCACTTTACTGATTAATCCTAGGATGCGTCATTTTTCGTTTTATTTTTAGGACCTCGAAGTTCTCTTTCGYTASTATGAACTACTGAAAGTCCMCGTMTAACTTCTGGGCTTTTCAACGAAAACAGTTSAAAATACGAGCATTTGTAAGCCATCTGGTTCTTTTCACTGGTATCTTGAACACATTCGTCAATGTATTTTSGAATCTTTCAATCTTCCTCTAGGAAAAAGTCCGTTCTACCGTTAGGGAATACATTCCGWTGTCATAGGGGCATWAGTTTCTCCCCATGAGAATTTTGAAGAATGCCTTTTTTACCTTACCGGGTACTTCCCCAACCTCCTGTCCGTGAGACGAGGGAGAGAAATTCTTCTCSKTWAGTAAGAAAAATATCTGGCAAGGACGTATCGCTAATTGGTGACAGTACTTTCTSAAGTCTCTCGAGTTCGGCCATTCTTCATGGTCTTCTACTGTTACTTCACATCAGAGAATAACGAACCCATCACTGGGCTGCAAGAAGAATACTTTTTGGCAATCAAATAAATTCCGTTCGTTTGGCATCGGTTTCGTACACTTCACACTCTTCTGGTTTAGGTACCATAAGTTAATATCCAAAACGACGAGACACTAGCGAGAGAATAACAATCCGTTCTTCGCCTGTCATAGTGAAAATATCATCAAAAGTTTAAATTGGTAAAGTGTGCAAAGTGACAAAGCCAGATCACGAAACACAACACATCACCACCATGGCAAGCGAAGAGGTCAACGATGGAGAAGGTCTCRACTACCTCGAGGAGATGCGGCTGGCAAAGATGGTTCGAAACCTGCGAAATGGGAACCGCTCGCTGCTAATGAACATGAACCRCGAGCGGAGCTTACCGGACCTCTTCGCCGAGAYGCGCGGCAATTCTTCCCCGGCGATTCATTCTTACAGGGACCGACGAGCAACTATAGCATCCTTTGCATCCTGTGGCCACGCCCCACGCAACTCCAACCGGCGCGCCTCCTTCGCAAACTCAACTGGTGACCCGCACAACCAGAACCCAACCAACAACAATGWCGTCAATCGACGGACATCCTTCGATCCTAACTTGCCGCCGGAGAGGTCGAGTCGGTCTCTGCATAGACGGGGGCCAGTGAAGGATCACTCCGGGAATGATAGCGACTCTGGAAGCTGCAATAGCGATGTCCCTCAACCTTTCAGAAAGTCCAATAGGCTTTCCGCAATGTCAGACATGCGTTCTTCCATGATGTCGAACGCGAGCGCCTGGAAGTCCATGTCTAGGTTTCTGAACGGAGCTAGCGAATCTTCCATCGACATTGAAACGGGGCTTTCTCCCCCGGACAACCAGGATGGGCATCGCCACAGCACGGTGCAGCCCTTCTACACGAAACCCGTCCAGAGACARCTATGGGGCCACCCAAATCTTGTGGTGCGTGTTCCAAAGAGTAACTCTCCGCGTATWATTGGCTATCGCGTGTTTTTCCTCGCAATCCATYAATCAATTGCTCACCCCCGTTAYGTTTGTCSACCAAATCTTCGTCTTCGATGAACGTATCTTGGTGCAGGTTCATATTGGATGGAACACGCTGGTAAGGAAGCACTCATTGTTTCTGGAATGTCCATTGAGGGCACATTGGAAAGATWGTGTCGTTAAACGTTACATCGTTTGGTTTGAAACTAACTCCACGATTCCTTCTGTGTCCCAAACGGAACTGCTATAGTTCTTTGACCTATTCTACGTCGCMGCAGCGTACAACCTGGGGAATCTGTTGATTTCCGCCCTGAACCACYCGGGGAACTGGCTCCGCGGCRTTGTCTACTGCGCCGGAATCTTCGGAGGGATCTACAACATCTTCCTGCGGTGCATGATGTACGATTCACAGTTTGAGGTTTACGACTACGCCCACCGGTTGCTAGAGGTGGTCCGCATGTTCCTGGTGAGCATCGTGGTGCTGCACATCAAATCAATCRACCTGCTGATGGATCCGAGATCGGCGGAAGCCTTCGCTCTGACTACCGCCATGTTCATGGAGACACAGGTCCACGTGTTGCTGAACCTAGAGCTCTTTTGTTACGGACGGGGCGACACGGTCGCCATCAAGAGCCAGAGCAAGAGGGAACTGACCACGAGTTTGCTTCCCTCGTCTCTCGTCTATATGGCTGCTTCGATTGTGTCCGGTGTGCTGTACTTTTGTGACGACGAAAGCGACGCAAGTGTTTACTACCGCGACGGAGATACAACGGCCTTTGCTCCGGTCTCCGTCGACGAGGGGCATCGAATCCTGGGAGCAGCGGAGAGTACCACCGGCAGTGGTGGCCACGGTGRCGGCGACATGCTCAAGTGGACCATTGCCGACGTCCCGATCGCCCTGTGCTTTGTCGCCGTGGTGGTGGCGAACGCGGTCCAGGGAATCCAGGCGATCAGGCTGCTGAGCCCAAAGAATCCGGAGATTCGTTCCGAAATAGTGCCCATGAACATCGATTTCTTCGTCCACAGGTTCGGAGAATTCACCATGCTCTTTTTTGGGGAGGCCGTCATGGGGTTGCTCATYGTCGAGACCACGGAATCCAGCAGCTACTACATGGTGGCGATGGTGGGGGTCCTGAACGTGATCGTCCTCCAGGCCTTCAAGTTCGAGAGCGAGCCCCACGGCCAAGGAGAAGAGCACTGCCTGTGGAGGGGGATGAAACCCTTTTTTGTGTATTCGTTGCTGACCCAGACCCTCTGTCTCGGGCTGATTGCCTTTGCGGTTTCCTTCAAGGTAGGACTGAACGTCCTGGTGGTGTCCGAACAATCGACGGGCGACGGATACGGCCACGACGGCACCAGCGGCGGCAGTGGCTATGGCGACGG